GGGATACACGAGGAATACACATGGGTCACCGGGATACACAATGGTCAACGGGATACACGAGGAATACACATGGCCCCCGGGATACACGAGGAATACACAAAGGTCACCGGGATACACGAGGAATACACAAAGGTCACCGGGATACACGAGGAATACACATGGGTCACCGGGATACATGAGGAATACACAAAGGTCACCGGGATACACGAGGAATACACAAAGGTCACCGGGATACACGAGGAATACACATGGGTCACCGGGATACACGAGGAATACACAAAGGTCACCGGGATACATGAGGAATACACAAAGGTCACCGGGATACATGAGGAATACACAAAGGTCACCGGGATACACGAGGAATACACGTGGGTCACCGGGATACACGAGGAATACACATTGTAACATCGAGTGCACAGAGTACAGAAGAGTTTCTATACCGGACGTGAGACCCCAGAATACACAGAAGATGCATAATTACGTGAGTGGAGTCCACCTGCGTTCAATTAAAGAGTCACATGACCTCAAAATAAATACACCTGTTTCCAGACTTCATCGGAGGTCGTATCTAAACAAACAGGCCCTGGAAGAGAGCTGTGAAAACACGCCCGGGGTGACGTTCTGGGGCGCCAACAAACAGGATTGGGTTCTAAGAAACATATACCAACCTGTGAACATCCCCCGGAGCGCCGCGCTATCCCTCGTAGGAAATGGAAGGAGTATTGTTCCCAACTCCGAATGCAAGTGACCCGTGAAATGAGATCATCGGCAAAGAGTCACGGGGGCCAACGGAGGAGACACCTGGTGCCCAGAACCCTCACCCGCTTCTATGGAAGTCCTCCACCTCCGAGGTCACCTAGAATGACCGCAATCTCCCCCCAGATGTGACAACCCTGTAGGATCCGGGGAAGCCCCTTCTCCCTTCTTGTAGCCATCCAACGGGGGAAAAGCTTTCTTCCCTTTCTCCTATCATGGCAGGCTGAAGTCGTACATCCACATTGTGTGATCACCCCCCGGCAGACCCCGCACTGGCACATTGTGTGATCACACCCCGGCAGACCCCGCACTGGCACATTGTGTGGGCGGAGCCAGTTGTCACTGCTACCTCCGCCCAATTGTTTTTTTCTTAATTTATTTTTCTTTCTTTTTTTAAATCATTTTGCAACTTTTTTTTATTTATTTCATTTTCATTCTTTTCTATTCTGCTCAATACCTCTGAGAATAGCCGAGCCGTATGCCAATCGGCAGGATTCGGCTATTCAGCGAGTGAGCTGCCCTAGCTTCGGCTCAGCCGATCCAGATGTTGGGATCGGCTGAGTCGTAGTCCTTCTGCACTTCGAAGCCAGCTGATGTACAGCCGATATTAGCCGATGTAAGGCCGATTTTAGCCGATGTAAGGCCGATATTAGCCGATGTACAGCCGATATTAGCCGATGTACGGCCGATATTAGCCGATGTACGGCCGATTTTAGCCGATGTAAGGCCGATATTAGCCGATGTAAGGCCAATATTAGCCGATGTACGGCCGATATTAGCCGATGTAAGGCCGATATTAGCCGATGTAAGGCCCATATTAGCCGATGTACGGACGATTTTAGCCGATGTAAGGCCGATATTAGCCGATGTACGGCCGATTTTAGCCGATGTAAGGCCGATATTAGCCGATGTAAGGCCGATTTTAGCCGATGTATGGCCGATTTTAGCCGATGTATGGCCGATTTTAGCCGATGTACGGCCGATTTTAGCCGATGTATGGCCGATTTTAGCCGATGTACGGCCGATTTTAGCCGATGTAAGGCCGATTTTAGCCGATGTAAGGCCGATATTAACCGATGTACGGCCGATTTTAGCCGATGTAAGGCCGATTTTAGCTGATGTAAGGCCGATATTAGCCGATGTACGGCCGATATTAACCGATGTATGGCCAATTTTAGCCGATGTAAGGCCGATTTTAGCTGATGTACAGCCAATTTTAGCCGATGTAAGGCCGATATTAGCCGATGTAAGGCCGATATTAGCCGATGTAAGGCCGATATTAGCCGATGTAAGGCCGATTTTAGCCGATGTACGGCCGATTTTAGCCGATGTAAGGCCGATATTAACCGATGTACGGCCGATTTTAGCCGATGTAAGGCCGATTTTAGCCGATGTAAGGCCGATTTTAGCCGATATTAGCCGATGTAAGGCCGATATTAGCCGATGTAAGGACGATTTTAGCCGATGTACGGCCGATTTTAGCCGATGTAAGGCCGATTTTAGCCGATGTAAGGCCGATTTTAGCCGATGTAAGGCCGATTTTAGCCGATGTACGGCCGATTTTAGCCGTAAAATACAGAAGTGAATAACCAAACAGCGTTCAGCTCATTTCACTTCGGCTCGGCCATTCACTCGGCTGCCTTGGGCCGCGTTGTGAATAACCCGGTAAAAGTAAGGCGCCAGGTGTCATCTCTGAGCCCGATGAAGGGGACTCTGCGCGCCCTCGAAGGCGCTTGTCATTTGAGTGACAACTATCAGTAAAATGACACGGAATTCTCGTGCTGGTGTCACCTCAAGCCGTAGTTTTTTAGGGCACATTGGCTTCTTGGTTTCCGGGATT